TTGTGCAGCTCGTACAACATGGCCATGGCTGAGAACTTGGCCCGGCGCAGCGAGGAGAACTCGTAGTGCTTCTCCCGCGCCAAGGTCAGGAAGGCGTCGCGTCCGTCCATGAGGTCGCACTGGATCAGCCCGTCTGGGTCCGATATCGAAGGCAGGTTGGACGCAATGTTGGCTGCGATGAGCCTGATTACAAAGAAGACCTGTACGGACATGGGCAGCAATATTAGTAAGGCACACAACGCAGCAGGGTCATTCAAACATTCAAGTGACTATCAAGTTTGACGTAACAATTTCAACTTTAAAAGTTGTGTTACCTCCTCTTACCAATAATCCATATTTTGAGGAACATGCCTACAGTTTAGGAAAGCTTTCTGCAGATACCAAAGCCTCTTCAGGATGCATTGTACCTTCCTACACTGTCACATACATGTACATGTATCTGTTGTTTATATCAACAAGCCTGAATTTTTAAGGAGTTCATTCAAAACTGCAAGTTATTTCAAGTTTTATCTAAGATGAGTCTATCCTCTTAGGACAAGCTAAAGCTTTCCAGCTGTAGACTGTAGACTGTTACCAACCAGGGTGTTTCTTTCTGGAAAGAAACGTGTTGCCCTTCATATATCTTTTCAAAAGGAAGAAATAGTATCTCTGGGTAATACATTTCAAAATTTTCCAGGACCCCTATTGCCAGACCCCTACTGTGGGTACAAAAAGTATGTTGCCAGCATACCATGCCAAGTTGGCCTACTGTCCTGACCTCTACACTGTCAAAAAGTTCTTAGAATGTTAACCAACTCACCTCCTTGTGTTTCTCCATAGTTTGGAAGAGCTTCTGAGACAGGTTGTTTCCCTGGTTGGGGAAGTTGGATTTCTTGTTGTTCTTGCGGTTGGAGCTGCTCTTACTTTTGCTCTTGCTCCCTTTGTTCTTCTTCCCCTTCTTCTTATCTCCATTGCCTTGCAGAGCACCGAAGCCAATGAACTGGAAACAATGAAAAATACCAACACTTAACTCTGGTTACCAGCCAAAGGTGGTACTTTAGCTTTATGTACAAATAAATACATTGCAATGATTATTGAGTGTTTGACATTATCTTTATTGAATTGAGAAAACAATTAAAACAATAGACAAGACGAAGAGTTAAAAACACCTCAGTCGGCCCCTTAAGACATATCAACATTGATATAGGGCACATCAAGGTTAAAAGAAAAAGTGCTGTGCATTAGCCATCAATATATACATTCTATTGCACGTTATTTTGTATCTTACTATTATTGCACATGTTAAAAAAGGTTACCGGCTCCAGCGATCTCTAGTGATCCAACCTATACAACACAGTTTAACAAGGTAAAACTTGCATGAGGACATGCTTTCACTGTGAATGTTGGAAAATGGATTTTAGAACGTTTTATCACTCAGGCATCAGAACATGGAGCTAGAAAAAGTTGATTAGCTCAAAAAATTAATGTCCGTTGCAGGGGTCCACACAAAAAAGAGTAGGGTCAGCAGTATTTTCTAGGGTAAGGCCACAGCAAGAAATATTAATGGATGACATCAGCATACGCATTAATCTTCGCCTGATTTGGGAAAAAAAACAAGACATTTTGTTGCCTTCTAATAGTGGTCAAAATGCCAAAAATGGGCAAAGATGCCAAAAGGTGGATGGCAGATAACTATGAAGAAAGGAGACTAGAAAAGGCTCTGATTTGATGTTTTGTTTCTTACTTTGATGCAGTGATATGTGATGTTGGCTGTGTATTTATACAATGATTGAGTCAAAATTTTAAAATGTGGGAACCTTGTTTTTGTCGGCCCGCCTTGTTTTTTTTCCACCTGCTCACATTAGTTTTGGAGTCTGCGGAGGATGTCATCCATAAAATTTACTTGCTGTGGCCTAAGTGGGTAAAACAGGCCCTACCTGGTCTCCATTGGACTCCTGTGCTATAGCAGCGGCGGCCTCCTGGGCTCGTCTCTCCTCCTCCTCTTCCTGGTCAATCTCCTTGATGCTCTCCTCCAGCACGTTGGGCCAGAAGTCGCCCTCGAAGTACGGCAGCTCGTTAGCCATGCTCACCCCGTCTTCTGTCGCTTGTTTCAGGATGTCCTGTTGGAGAAGCAGGCATTGTCTTAGGGCTGGAAATACTGAATGCATATGCACCTTAGTGCACCCAAAATTGGAGCTGTGCACCCAATTTTTTCTGTGGGTGCACCAGTGCACCCAAATATTTAGGTTCATATATGTCAAGATGTGAAATGTAATGTAGTATACAACACATTCCTAATATCTAATTGTCATAAACATAGTTAGTTTTTGCTGACACTCTACTTATTTTATTTTACATGTTGCACCCAATTTTTGAGAACCCAATTTTTGAGGTTGGGTGCACCAGTGCACCTATTCCCAATAATTTATTTTGAGCCCAGGTCTTAGTCAATCAGACCAACTCATGTACTGGGTGCACATTTAGCGTAGGTATTTCTGATGTCTTCCTGCACCTAACCTGCACTGGTCCATGTACTGAGTTTATTTACAAATGTAGGTGTACACATGTATGCAGATTTTATTTGCTCCATTCAATGTTACCGCCTACTAAATATAAAAGAAATGTTCATACTCAATAAAGATCATTCATTCATTTGTTCATTCAAAACAAATCTATCTGAGACCACACCTTGTAGTCCTTGACCACTCCCTCGGCTACAGCCTTGTCTAACATTTTCTTGTACCACTCCTGGAGACGTTTTGGTTTGGGGATCTTCTGTTCTGGAGGATGGCAGTGGAAGATGTAGTCATCCCCCTCACTGGGAGGACAGGCCCAGATGTGACCCATGGTATATCTGCAAAGACAACATGTGCAGGGTCAGAACATGTAAGGTAAAGGTAGTCCCATAGCAGGCCACAAAATTAACTTCCTATTGTCCCAGCACTGTCCCAAAATAAATTTCAACTGTCCTGAAATGAGGATGAACTGTCCCAACCTGTTTTTTTTTTCAGTATTGTATGAATAAAACTTGCAGTCAACTTTGTTTTCCTTATGTTCACTCCCAGGCGCACTATAATTGCAGAGTAGACAGAAATTTGGGGGGACTTTTCCGGATCCAAAAGTTGGGACGTGTGCCTGGTAAACAAAAGAAGGGCTGACATTCTGATGTTGATTATTTTTCTATTGTCCCCAAAATGTCCCAAAGTGTCTTTTTACTTGTCCCGGCGTAAGTATAACTGGTCAGTGGCCATCGGGACACCGTTCATTTCGAGCCCTGCCCATAGTCTTTTTCAGGCCGTAGGGGCCGTAGCTTGTTAAAATTTACTGTGTCAAGAGCATGGCATTGAAGGTTCCTTCTCATTGCAATGTACAGAATGCCAGTGTTAACTCAGGTTACAACATCTCACTTTGGCTTTCTTTCTCCAAAAAGATCTACAGTTTTTAGCTTCAGCTTTAAGGAGCAAGGGAGCATTAAAAAACTGGGCAACGAGTATGTATATTCAAAAACTGGTCAACTAGTAGTAGTACGGAAATTTACAAACTGGGCAACTAGTACGGATATTTATGTCATACCTGGCCCGCGATTATGTTCGATACGGGTGTTCCGGCCCGTGTGATAACTAGCGGTACGGCCCGGGGGTTCTTTACGTGTACGGCCCGGGCTTCCAAATGTTCCATAGAATGATTCGAACGCGTTTCGCCCTAACCTGTGTGTGCTCCACTTTCGAAAATTCGAATACAAAATTCAGATGTTGGAATTGATGTTGTTGCATTTTTGGGGGGTTTAGGGACACCAAATTTTTGCTCATTGAAAGGTGTGTTTTCTTGGGTGGGTATTACATAATATAGAATACAACACTGTGTATTCTGCATCACCCTCGGTCCCAGCCCTCCCGCGGATCGGATCTCCCTCCGGCCTTCGGGCAATCTGACGCGCGGTAGGGCTGGCGCCTCGGGCAATACGGAATATGCCGTGTTGTATTCTTTATTTACAAACTTTGGAGATGAAAGAAAATAGACTGTAAATACCCTAATTTCTTGACGTAGTCCAGATAGCCTATAAGTATCTCATGGTACACGGCTGTTCTCAGGTTGCGAGGTTTGAAGAAGTGAACACTGTCCAAGTAGGAAATGTAGACTCTCCTGTAAACAACAACACACAAACATATGTAAGACATGAAAACTTGAACTGTTCTGTTCTAAGGTAGCAGAGGTAAAAAGTACAGGATGAAGTACGAAATCGCTATTGATAACTGATTGTTGACTTGTACAATGATTAAAACAAATCTTTCTAATTCATAGTAAGGCGACATTGACTTAATTTTATGGATGACATCCTCTAAAGACCCCAAAACTAGTGTGCGCGGGCGAATAAAGAAAAATTCCAGCCAAAAATAAAACACAATAGGATGCCTAGGTCTGTTTTTATTTTTTTTCGCCCGCCCACTCCATTATTTTTCTAGAAAAACCCGTTAATCAAGAAATTAAATTGGTGTGGCCTTAACTTGAACTTTACAACCAAGACCAGTGTTTTAGTACCTGTGGTTTGGTTGTGGACAGTCCGACCCGTACTCCTGAACGTGCATCCCGAAGAAGCAGACTTCCACGCCGTCAATCTCCTCAAACGCAAACAGAGCCTTGGCCTTGTAGGGAAACTGTTCAGGCATGTCTCCACTGTCAACAAACCTGTAGGTACAAACAACAGTTAGGAAGACTGCTTCACAGCATGTATACATATGGAATCGCTTGGACATTTCTTAGGTTGGAAATTTCAGTTTAAACTTGCTTCATAATGACTTCTACCAACACAGAACTTCCAGTCTCAATCAAAGAATGAAATGTTCTTAGTAGTAGAATTCTGAGTCTAGATTAATAGTGAGTGGTTGTGAAGATGAGAGAATCTAAATTAAAGGGATTAAAGAGGCCATCTACATCAGGGCATTACAACCATCCCTCAACAGAGACGGGGGGCGCCACAGACTTTCTGCAACCTATGATCCACTGCTCACAGAGTCACGTGTGTTATCTGCTTGACGTCACGGAAGCGGTGGATTGCTCATTCCTTGACAAAGACTGGAGTTGTGCAGTCAAAAATTTGGGTGAGTCCAATTTGTTGTGTTGGAAATTGCAGTTTAAACTTGCTTCATAATCTTTTTTTCTTCGTACTACTAAACTCACTTGTTTTTCATTCCTGGCTTGACCTCCACCATCTTGTCCGACACGTGTACCACGCGGATGGTGACCTCCCCTGCGTCCGCACACCGTTCCCGCAGGTAGTTGTTGACTCTGTTCTCAAGAAAAGTTCCCAGCTTGGTGGACTGTAACCCTGTTGTAGCAAAAAATGACAAGACAATCAGAGATAAATGGTAAGGGTAGGCATGGCACACTGCCCCCGTTTCGGCATTGGAACGTGGGGGCGAGCGAGGCAGTAACAATCGTTGTCCTTAAATACGCAAATACGACCTTAAATGAGATGTTCTGCCGAAGCGCTATGTACAATGCATAAAGAGCTGTGCCCAGGCACAGTACGTTTAGGTGCACAAGCTCCAGAAATGGACAAGTTTCATCAAATTTACTTACTCTTTGATGTGTACTTGTTTTCTTTTCTCTTCTTCCCCACTTGCTTCAAGCAAGCATCACACTGGTACCTGTAAGTGATATGTCAAACGTGTTAATATTGAGTCTTTGTACACATGCAGTACATTCTCCATACCGGATATTTATAGTTTGAGAGTACATAGTGATCATGTCTTTTAGGAACTAAAAGCTGACACACTGATTTCTTTTTATAAATGGTTTTTATTGTCAAAACAGTACCCGTGCAGTCGCAGCCTTTATACAGCTGAATTGATGCAGGGTATTGCATAATAATCGATACAAATCACAACAATTAAAATAATACACATGATAACACATATTTGCTCCACAAATGTTTTTGTGGAACTGCTGCAAGGGTCTGTGCGGCTGCCATTCAGCACCACAAGGTGACCTCAATACGGCTTTCCCCAACCGAAGTTAGGTACCCATTCACACCTGGGTAGAGTGAGGAAAGTCGTGTTAAGTGCCTTTCCCAAGGGCACAACGTCGGGGCGCATGTCCAGACATGTCCCGGGTACGACTTGGGATCGAACACGGGTCTCCCAGTTCATAGTCGAACGCCCTACCACTGTGCCACCAAGTGCAGTAACAAAATCAATGCGTGAGAAGTGTACTCACCCCTGTGGCCAGATGTTCTCATGGTACGTAACACAGATCTGATGCATCTTCCGGCCACATTCTGTACACTCCACAAACCTGCAGGGATACAAGCATGGATCTTATCATCTCCTACAATCTGTACATCAGCCATTCATTCTAGCTAAAGGGTGGTGGACATGCACATGTCAGGGTACAGTGTTCTAGCCAGGATGTTTTCATAGCATAGGGGTCAGGTACAGAAGAGCAACTTTCGTGGTGCAAATTGCACATTGAGCTGAAAAAATTTGAAACTCATAACCCCCTGAGATACTATTTCTTGTTTACTGTGGAACAGATTTTGTGAAGTTAAGGTTTTCCCTTTGCTATAGCTTCATTCCAAAGTTATCTTTTCATTTTTTGCAAGATTTATGAAGGTTGTCCCTCCCAAAAAACCCCTATGCTGGTTGAAACTTAGCATAGGGGTCAAAATTAAGCTGGTGTGGTTATCGGCTATACAGGTACAGATACTTACGGTTCCAAGTCCAAGACGTCATTCTTCTTTTCTTCAAAGGAGCTCTTGGGTATTGTGCTGTAGAGACAACACAAGAGACATCACAACACTGAAGAACCCACAAGGATACAACAACTTTTGCTACAAAAATGGCCACTGTCCAATTGGCCAAAAATCACTTTTTTCACGCATCATTTCTGCTAAAAATCTGTTTCATACACTGTCTTGTACAGTATTTACTGGTTCATTTCACAGGGCTTCTAGCTTCTTCCAACAAGTACAATGAACAGCGGCCCACAGCTGAACATCCCGTCCTTACAACTGCAGCCCTCTCCAGTAGTGTGCATGTCCCGTGAGCAACAACAGCCGGCCTTTGACTTCTTTGTCCAGGGCAGGTTCAATACCCACTGGACTACGCATGGTGACTTGGTTTTGACAGATGGGTTGGAACATGTTGGAAAACAATTCTACATCATTTTCATCAGTCAGATCAAAAATTTTAGGTCCCTTGTCATTGTTTAACCCTCTTAAAAAGACTAGGGTTGGCTGGCTTTTGCTAGAGTCTGTCAGGTAAAAAAACGGGCTAGGTTTGGCCCTAATAGACCATATTAGCAGGACGTACTATAACAGTTGCACAGTCATAAACTTTTTCATAGAAAATGTCATGAGTTCAGTTTTAAGGGGATTAAAAGTTGCCAACCACTGGTCAGACACTCAGTCACTCACCACACTGAGATCGTGGTTTAATCTACTTGCTGAAGCAAGAGAGTCCAAAAACAATTTCTAGAAGTGACGTATCGTCAGCAAAAAGATTGGTATCAGTTTGCAAATTGTCCACCAGATCATTAATAAAAACTAATGACAGGAGCGGGCCAAGGAGTGACCCCTGTGGGACACCAGCATCTATCGGTAACCAGTCGGAACATGCCCCATTAATGACAACACACTACTTACCTCTGTGCCTGGCTAGGGTCGTCCCCCAGTGTGACAGTGTCTCCGCCAATCTCTCCAAAACATTTCTGACAGTAGTGGTACCTGTCAGACAGAAGGCCGGCAGTGGGGTTACTACCGGACCCCACACAACACACCGAGAGGGGATGCACACAGAGGGGGGTAGGGAGGGGGGGGGACAAGACCAACAAGACAAGCAGGGAAGAAACAGCATTAGCCAAGAAAATGCAAGCACAGGCACTAACTCACAACATGCAGAACAGAACATAGCATCTGATTCGCAGACTTGAATTACGTCTACACCATGCAAGTTGTAGTATCATGCCAGCATGTCCGGTACCAACGGGGATGTTACAAACATGCAGCACACAATCTTCACAGATTTGCACTTTAAAAAAAAGAAAACATCAAGCAGTATCAAAAGAAATATAAAAGCACTGCTACAAAGCCACACAGGAGAAACAAGCCACATGTAGGCAAGGGTATCGGGCGATTCTGACATTTGTAACAATCAATTTAGATTATATTGTCATGAACATTAGACTGATTTAGGTTTGAATCATTCTGGTTAACAAAATGCAACATTGAGCAGACATCACCAAACAGTGAGACAATGTTGTAATACATGTTTGCTTGTTTAAACATGTTTAAAAGTCTACAACCCAAGCTTTCCATTTGGTAGCCAATGTTTTCCCAAGCATTGGTTCAAAAGAATTTTACAAAGTATGTCAATTCTATATTACAAAAAAAGATTAGCTGGTTCAAATATTCTCTTTTAGAAGAGTCAAACATGTACAAGTGATCACCTCTACATCAGGACAACCAGGCCAATGTGACTACTTTTTATTTTAGGTACTTTCTTTGATAATCATTCATTTTTGATGATTTCTAAGATAGTTTTTTTCTTTATTTTTGGTAGTGTTTTAGATAATGTTCCCATCTTGGCAGTTTCTTGGAAAATTTATCATTTTTGGTACTTTTTAGATAATTTTTCCCATTGACATAACCACTAAGAATACTGTCTACAGTGACCACCTGTCCACAAAAAACATATTTTATACATCAGTTGCCTGAGTGGTCTTCTTGGTCAATTTTGACACTAAAATCTGTGCTGTTATTCTAATCTGTTCCCCCAGCCCAGGCTCACATTAGTGCAGCCTACATGTACTTACCGGTTCTCATATGTCCAGTACCGGGCTCCCCATGGGATAGTACACACAGACTTGCCATAGCAGTACAGCGCTTGTGGTTGGAACACATACTGAAACAGGACGGAATGAAAACTTCATTGTGTGCATTTTCAGTGGATTTTACTTCTGTTTGACTTCGTTACCACAAGTTCGTGACACCATAAATATGAGTTTCCAATGCACAAGTATTATCATTAATTAGAATTTTTATTTACAAATTCATGCCCAGTGTTTGAAATACCCGGTAGCGTACTAGCGCCATGCAACATGATTTCCTTGTGAGCTAGTTGTTCCCTGACTCAGGTAGTGCACCCAGGGCTAAAAAAACTGGATGCATGTACACCTTAGTGCACCCAAAATTGGATCTGTGTACCCATTTTTTTCTTTTTTTCTTTTTCTTTTCAAATATTTTTTAATGTATTTTTGTACAGATTAAAAGTATAATAGTATACAGGATATTCTTGGCATCTAAGGGTCAGGAAAATAAAATCTTTCTTGTACTAAATAAAATGTAGTACAAGAAATTTAAGCTTAGAAGAGGAGCAATAAGATTGATAAATTTAGGTTTTGTTTTATATGGTGCACCCAAAAAAAAATTCTGTGCACCTAATTTTTAGGTTGGGTGCACCAATGGACCTATTCCCAAAAGATTGTAGATAAATGACTAGAATATTGGCTTTGAAAAATCGGGTTTCTAAGTTCTAAAAACTGCACTGGATGCCTTTAATGGAATGAGATAGTTGCATTGTTGGAGTGCATTTCTTACCTTCCTTCCACAACAGAAGCCCAGGTTGGCCATCACTGGGTCAATCTCCTGCTCAAAAACCTCTGCAAGCTGAACAGACAAAGAAACAAGTCAGCTCATTGGGTAAAACCACTTAATAGCCTTTGATATGTCTAAATAAAAATACTGCGAGTTCCAGTCTACAATAGTTCCTAAGCAAAAAAAAAGAGTTGCAGACACGTACCTTGGAGCAGTACTTGTAAACCCTGGAGGTTTTGCGGTTGTACAGCCAGGCGTTATCGAACATGAGCCACACGTCGTCACAGTACTCCCACGGGTCCTTGTACTGTCCCGTGTCCAGTTTTCTCTTGATGGTAGACAAGTCCATCGGGTGTTTTACAATGTCAAAATAGTCCTGTATCAAAGGGAGAAAACTTCAGCACTGCAAAAACTCACAAGATCACAGTAGACTTGAAACTGTTCAGTTTCTTTTTTTTTCAGATTCAGATTTTTTTTCTTCAATTATTATGGAAACTGTTTCAAAATAGTCCAGTTTCAGAGGGGGAGAAAATTTAGCACTGCAAAAACTTTGCTTCAAAAGACCATCAAGTTCAAATTGTTCAGTTTCCTTAGTCTTTTGTGCTCAAAAATTTAAAACAGCTCAACTGTTTTAATGATGTTGCAACTTCAGCACCACTTTGCTTTAAAAGACAATTATAAACAGATCAACTTGAAGTTGTCTGCAATTTTTTGCATGGAAAAATTCAAAATTATTTTAGCCAATCATGTTTTGAGATATTTTTCTTAAAATAAACTGCTTCAATTTGTATTCAGGAATCAATGACAAGAGTGATATCAAAGTGTCAAAGAAGTCCAAACTGATTTTTTTCTCTCCTTTTCTGGGCTGTTATTCATTTTGTAATGGGTATGCCAAAGAAAGTTGAAACATTTATGCACCAATTTTGACCGAAAATGTTTGGGGTTACGTTAGTATTTAACATGTATAGTGTACAGGACAATTGGCATTTAACATAACAGATAAGATATAGCTGGTTGTATTTTTTAAACACTTTTTGGGGCTGCAGGTCTTGGCGTACTATTGGATTAAGAATATTAGTACTTAAGCTAGCCTTAAACTAGGCCACACCAATCTAATTTCTTGGTTAACGGATTTGCCTGCTTCATTTTTTTCTGATTTGCAAAAAAAAAAAATTCAGAATAAACTGCAAAATGCTCATATTTTGCCCTCAACAGTTAAAAACAGTCCTTTTCTTTCTACTTGTTACAGTTATTCCATCTTTCAATGCAGTGGTATCAAGTTCAAAATTGTTTAAATTTTGAACCAGCCTGGTGTGTTGACTTCATGGCTCCTATCGTACCATTTTAGGGTATAATAGGATGCCTAGGCCTGGTTTTTTATTTTTCGCCTGCCCGCTCCATTATTTTTCTAGAAAAATCCGTTAACCCATAAGTTAAATTGGTGTGGCGTTAACGAGGGTTAGTTACTGGGTGGTTATTTCTCACCATGACATGGCTGGGGACAGACAAATGACCTGCAGTCCTTTCATGCAGAAATGGGGACCAAACCTTAGGAACTCGCAACCCCTGACTTACAGGGATGCCCAGCAGCTTGGGATCCACCGGCTGCCTGAAGGGGAGGGACTCCGGGTCCTGTCGGTACAGCTTCTCCAGGGTCGGCATCAGGGCCTGACGCAGCTCATCCGGCTTAAACACTGGAAACAACACCGAGGGTTAGATAACAACATAGCCTTGCGGGTGTGTAGTGCTGTGTACCTAAACCCGCTTTTAGGTTTAGGTCCGGATTCAAGTCCAGAGGTTTAGGTTCAGTTCCGGACTTGTAAGTCCGGACCTAAACCCATGGCATATACAAAATTGCATGTTGGCAACCTTGCAATGTTGTTTGGGAAAAACTTTGGCCACATAACATGGAAGCCGATACTTGACAATGCCCGATGGCAATGTTTTCTTCATTTTGCAGCAAAGATTTTGCAATCTATGGAAGGTTTTGGGTGGTTCGGAAAGAAAAGGGGTATGTGAAATGTTTTTTTTTTTGGTAATAAGTCCAGACTCGGTTCTTGACTTTTATTTTTTTTTACTTGAACCTAAACATTCTTACAAGTCCGGATCCAAGTCCAGTGAACAGGTACACAGCACTAATAACAACATAGCCTTGCTCATGTGTGTCCATCAGACACCATCCTCCCAGATTCTGCTATACATACTATTAGCTAAAGTAGGTGGCGCTTTTGCGATGAAAACACAATCCGGAACATCTTCATCCAGACCACCTCCTTGATCCAGCAAATTCGTTTGTTGTCCTCTCTATTACCTCTATTACCCCCCTCCTCCTATTTCACAGTTGTTTCAGGATATGTGGTCCATCACTGCCAATTCTACTACCTTTGAACTATAAAAGAAATAATGGCAATAGTTTCTGACTAGTTATCAGTATGATCTATGCTTTCGAGTGGTAAAGGTAAAATTTATCCAGTGGAAGTAATCTTTAACGTGTAGGTATGCAGAAAAAAAGTATCTCGAGCCCTGTGAATGACTCACCTTTCTTGTTAGGAAAGTCTTTGTTGGGGTTGGGTCTTCTGATGAGGGGAGGTTTGGGTGGACCGTCGCCGGACTCCTGCTGGACTGCGGCTGGACTGGGAGACTGGGTGTCCTGTTTGATGGCCATGCCGGCCGGAGATTTCGTCTCTGTCTTCACACCTGTCGCCCCAGAGGCATCCTTACAGGAGGCCGTCCCCATCACCTGTTCAGTCTTCACTTCTGTCTTTATCTCAGTCTGGAACAACGGACAGTGTCATATCAGGAAACAGTGTACAAAATACTTTTAAATTAGGTTGCCAATCAGAATTTTAGGCTGCCCCCCCTATAAGTTACTACTTTCCTCAAATTAAGTAATGTTACATACGTAAGCCTTTGACATCAACCTTGTTCACCGAACAGAGACGGGGGGCGACACAAGTTATCTGGCACGTATGACCCGCTACTACGATCACGTGTCTCTGACGTCACGTTCCAAGAGTAGACGGGTCCATTCCATGAACAAGGTTGATGGAGTCAACCGAAAATTTGGGGTAAGTCCCAATTCTGTAATCTAAGTCACTGTGTTGGAAGTTAAAGCTTAGTCTTTATTTCATAGTACCTGTGGTTGTTCAGGCGGTTGTTGTTGTTGTTGTTGAGCCGGTGGCTGGGTTGCGGCCTCCTGTTTAACGTTGAGCGCCGGCTGCGATGTGTCCATGGGCTGGCTGGTGTCGCCAGCCTGCGCCGTGGTGGTCATGGTGGTGGTGGTGGCGGATGACGGTACGGTACTGCTCGCCAGCGTGGTGGGAATGGTGGTGCCGGGCGGGGCCACCACGTTGGGCGGGGCCTGCTGGGTGTCGTCCAGCGGTGCGGGCGGGGCGGCGGTTTGCACCGGCTGGGGCTGGGACGTGGGCGTGGTGGAGCCGGGGCGCGGCGGGGTGTGGTGGGGAGTCGTTGTCTGTTGGCCTGGCTGCATCCCCTGCTGCGCCTGTTGTTGTTGTTGTTGTTGCAGTATTGGAGCAGTTGGCTGCGGGGCTTGTTGACCCATCTGTAACCAATCAAAATAATGTCAATCTCGAAATGTTTGCCATGCGATCCGTCATAATTTTTTTCAATTAACATTTAGTAAATAAAATAATCTCCGTAATGTATTCTGTAGAGGTTGAATCTGTGTAGCACGTCGGCTGAACATACTGCGCATGTGCAGAACCCTGGATGCAGACGATATCTTTTCCGACACAACATTTCGAAACTACTGTCGAAATGCTAACCTTATATGAGCGAATACGACCTTATATGAGACATTCTGCCGAAATGCTATGTACAATACATTACAGGTTTCACGCAGGTGCAGTACGTTCTGCTGACGTGCTAATCTGTGTTGCCTTACCTTGTTGGACTGGTCCATCTGTGGCTGTGAGGGGGTCTGCTGCTGTACTGGAGGTGTTGGCCTGTTGATGGACTGTGGACTGGGGCCGGACGCTGGCAGTAACTATACGGGAGGGTACGCACAAAAAAACAGTCTTGACACGTGCTCCATGAAATATCTTGTACATACTAACAACAATCTACACCATACCTGTGGTAATACTGTATTCAAAGGCATCTGATGTAATTTCAGGCCTGCAAAACTGGATTTTGAAATCAATTTTCTTGTTGTTCTTTTAATGTAGTAAGTTGAATCAATGCTATCCCACAACATATCTGTATTGGAAAAATGTGATGTCGCTGATGGAAAAAGGTTGATAGTTTTGTATTGTAGGCTGGTTCTAGATATCTATTGGTTGAACCCCAAAATAAAGCGACCTGTTTTAGAGACATTTCAAACGCTTCAAGTATGAAATGGATATTTACTGGAGGTACTCACCATGTAGATTGTTTCTGAGCTATTTCAAATACTTCAAGTATGAAATGATGACAAAAATGTACTCAGATTTGGCAGTAAATTTCATTACAAGACAGCTTTTCTCATGTATTTTTTTGTTTTGCCACCCTAAAATTGCATCAATGCCTTTAAAGATTCCATTTTACTCGGCTAACAGCTTTATCTAACACGGCAGCTTGCATTACTGGTGCTGTCTCTACTGCCATACTGTACCTACGCTCCTCCTACCAGCGCTACAACGGCCGCCGACCTGGCGAGCACGGGAAAGCGCGGGCGTCGAGGAGCGTAGGATGTACCTTCTTGGAGATGTCACGTACAGCGGCGAGTACCTGTCCCAGGGAGGTGGCTTGTTGTTGTTGTTGTTGTGGCGTCATGTTCTGGACGTTGGGCAGCAGGCTGCTCATGCTGGTGTTGAGCGAGACGTTGGCGGCGCCGGGAAAGCCCGACTGCTGGCCCTGCGCCGGCTGGCCGGGCAGGAACGGCTGCGCACTCGCCTGGTTCTGTTGGCTGGGCACGATCGCGGCCAGGTTGGCGGCGATACCAGTCGCTAAGTCAACTATGCAAAATGTTGGAGAAGAAACAGAGTTAGGTCGATGAAGGCTAGACATCTAGGTAATGTGATAGCCAAAACACAATTACTCAACAACTGGATAAAATTTGAAAGCACCAGGATGTTCTATAAGGCCACAGCAAGTAAATTTTATGGATGATATCCTCCGCAGACTCCAAATCTAATGTGAGTGGGCGAAAAAAAAACAAGGCGGGCCGAAAAAACAAGGTTCCTACATTTTCAAATTTTGACTCAATCATTGTACAAATGGTTTTGATTCTGTTCGAACATCACATATACACAGCCAACATCACATATCACTGCATCAAAGTAAGAAACAAAACATTAAATCAGAGCCTTTTCTTGTCTCCTCTCTTCATAGTTATCTGCCATCCACCTTCCAGCATGGCAACAGACATCTTTGCCCATTTTCGGCATGCCTACCACTGTCAGAGGGCAACAAAATTTTTTTTTCCAAAATCAGGCAAAAATTAATGCGTGCGCTGATGTCATCCAAAAAATTGCTGTGGCCTAAGTAGCAGAAACCAGAGGTAAAAGAGCGCCACCTTGAGGTCTTGGTGCAGACTGCATGCCGGGCTGGTTCCCCGGCACCAGTGCGGCCGGTCCCTGTCCCGGCCCCTGACCAGGCCCCGAGCCGCGCAGCTGCTGCTCCTGTAGACGCCGGTGTCGCTTCTCTTCCAGCTCCTTCTGAATCTTGTAGATCTTCTCTGCTAACAGGTGGTAATACTCCTCCTGAAGACACAACAGGCATGTGTAAGTACAGGGAACACCTGTTTAAAGCCATCCAATGCGATTTCAGAGCAGCAACACTAGAAATATTCTGAATAAGGCAGTCTTTTTGATGCTGAAACATACTGCTTTACATTAGCACATTTCAATCAGTATTTCATATTTTTGGCTATCTGAAACAGCAGAAACAAGCCCCAAGATGAGCCCTTTATTTTAAGGGTGGTACCCTAAAAATCAGCCAAAGGCCCTTTCAGTGACCATTTTCCTTCAAAATTTTAGGTATATATGCTATATGAGGGTTAATACACATTGGGATAGTGTAGTTTTAACTCAGTATGTAGATAAGTGACTTTAAATTTTCGATGCCAATGTTGGAAAACCAATTGAACAATGTTTCAGCACTCTGGTCAGACTGGTGTCAGATCATGGAGCTAGAAAAGGTCGATCAGTTAAAAAGCTTTATGTCCTTTGCAGGGGTCCACACAGAAAAAGGCTAGGGTCAGCATCTTTTTCTAGGGTCGGTCCGGAAACAAATCAACAACATTAATGATTGAACAGAAACCCTGTTTTAAATTGTGTTGACCTGCACAATGTACTAACTGTCAACTACATTGACAAAAATGAACGTTATTTGACATGTACAGACTATACTAATAACTTAACTGTTTCTTTTACCATACAAGTTGCTTTTTTTTTATTGATAAGGCCAAACCAATTTAATTTGATGTTCCTCGGATTCGCCCTGTCCATTTTTTTTATTTGCGAAAAAAATTTTAGGTTGTAAATCAACTGCAAAATGATCAATGAAAGAGATATTTTGGCCCCTACGGTTGAAGAAAATCTTTTTATGTTTACCGAAGGAAAACATATTGTTTTTACTCAATTTCCTCTTCCTCTTCTTCTTCTCCAAACACTAACCTCTGACCTGGCCAATGACATGATTTGTTGACGTCTGTCACCATGGTGACTGGTGTTGGGTTACATAATGTTGCAAACTTCATGGTCTGCTCTGCTCCTGTCACCATATACTAGTAGTACATGTATGTAGATACGTTTGAGTAAAAGTTAACAGGGCAGACCATGTCCGAAGGTAAACATTATGCATTTGCTTTGCAAATGTTACTTCTCTAGTTCTTCCTTGTCTTTCAATGTAACAATGCAACTTTTATTCATTAAAAGTTCAAAATCTATTGTTTTATTATAAACCAGCCTGGTATGTTGACTTCATGGCTCATATTGTAACATTTCCGTCTATAATGGGGTGCCTTGGTCTTTTTTTTCAATCAATCAATCAATCAATACCCTTTATTTATACTGGAAATGCCCTGTCGCTTCATATTTTTTCTGAAAAAAATCTGAGAAACAACAAATTAAATTGGTGTGGCCTTAACTGTGCTTCTTTTACCATACAAGTTAGTTGTTTTTATTGATAAAGCAATTACTACTTTTGGAGAGTGATGACACAAAGTGGAAGTGATATATGAACTGCGTACCCGGCTGTTGGCGGTTTCGTACATGTCTCCCTCCACTTTCCTGGCGTAGGCGACCAGGTTGCCCATCCTTCTGTCCTTGAGCGCGGCCGGGTCGGGGGTCGGGAAGATAGCCTGGACTCTGCAGAATGAAAAATAGAGGGCTTGTAGTCTGTAGAAGGAAACAGTAACAAGTTCTCAACACCACTCATCAACACCTGACCTCCTGATCTAACACATGTAGTGCTGTGTACCAGTTTACTGGACTTGGATCCGGACTTGTAAGAATGTTTAGGTTCAAGTCCAAAAAAAACCTAAAAGTCAAGAAACGAGTCCGGACTTATTACAAAAAAAAAAACATTTCACAAATCACCTAAAACCTTCCGTAGGTTGCAAAATCTTTGGTGCAAAATGAAGAAAACATTGCCATCAGCCATCGTCAAGTATCGGCCTCCATGTTATGAGGCCAAAGTTTTGCCCAAACAACATTGCAAGGTTGCCAACATGCAATTTTGTATGTGGGTTTAGGTCCGGAAGTCCAGAACTGAACCTAAACCTCTGGACTTGAATCCGGACCTGAACCTAAATGTGGGTTAAGGTACACAGCACGAAACACATGGCCAAGTGAAATGAAGCAGTGTTCTGGCCAGCCTGAAATTTTTTTCTGTCATTTCAAAAATGACATAACATCATGTCGAGTGGCAAACAGTGGAAAATTTTTAAATCCTGACCACTTTTTGACAGACTAGGCAAAATTTTTGGCCGTCACGAGTTCAAAATTCCTTCAAATGATGGATGCTGCCTAGAACACTGGATGGAATGAAGGCATCTTTTTCTTTTACAAAATGTTTTTACTAATGACTTGGATGAAAATAAAAAATATGCCACAAACAAATATTTCAATACAAAAGTCATGCAGCTGCCAACTTGCAAATCCACAGCCAGTGTTACTTTGTTAAAATCATCATCTTTATGATATCAAGAATAATTTCAGCCTTCAAAAGTAGGTTGGACATGCACATGAGCTGCACACATGGAGAGGGCTGTCAGGAGGTCTGATGTGATGACATGTGACAAGAACAAAGCTCCAAATACTGGATACACAAATGCACTATTGTGCACTTAAATTAGTGCAAGTAAAATTGGAGCTGTGCAGGTATTTCTGATGTCTACCTGTACCTAACCTGCACTGGTCCATGTACTGGTTATGTGTGTGTGTGTGCGTGTATGTGTGTGTGTGTGTGTGTGTGTGTGTGTGATTTTTATTTGCTCTATGACTATTACCACCTATGAAACATGAAAGAAATTATGCCAATAGTTTCTAAACAGTTAAACTTTGTCTGCAGGCCTATTATTTGAACAAAACAGGTGCAAAACAACAAATGGAAGTGTCTTATATCAAGCCATGCTTGCTAATGTGCAGTATTAGATTGCAAAAACATTCAGACATACCCATAACGTTTTACTGACAAGATTAAAGATACAAATGCAGGTGTCTGTAACAAAACTGTTGATGGAAGATGTAGTTAGACTAACACGTTGGCATAACGTACTGCACCTGCGCAAAACCCACATTATTTTTGTTGGATTTTCATCTAACACTGCATCAGAATTTTGCCAGAGGATACCTTTTCCGACACAAGATCTGAAAACTATAGATGAATGTCATTCTTAACTACACAAACTCTACCTTAAATGAGGCATTCTGCCCAAGTGCTACTGTAATTCCTGATTTTTTTCATGGAACTTTTATGTCCATGGTTTTCACTGTCACCTCTGTACCCTGAATTTATCATTAGGCCACAGCAAGTAATTTCTACGGATGACATCAGCGCGCGCATTAATTTTCACCTGATTTCAGAAAAAAAAGAAAGAAATTTTGCTGCCTTCTGACAGTGGTCACCATACCAAAAATGGGCAAAGATGTCTGTTGCCATGCCGGAAGGTGGATGGCAGAGAGGAGACAAGAAAAGGCTCTAATCTAATGTTTTGTTTTTTACTTTGAAGCAGTGATATGTGATGTTGGCTGTGTATATGTAATGTTCCCACTGAATGAAAACCATTTGTACAATGATTGAGTCAAAATTTTAAAATGTAGGAACCTTTTTTTTTTCGACCCGCCTTGTTTTTTTTCGCCCGCTTGCATTAGATTTGGAGTCTAAGGAGGATGTCATCCATAAAATCTACTTGCTGTGGCCTTACCGCTAACGCATCATTCATCTTTTGCCCCCCCCCCCATAAACGTGTAATTCCATGAACACCTCCATTTTTCTGTGAAATTTTGCTACCGTGAACATAAAGTGAATTACAGTATGCACAATGCATGATGGTTTTTGCGCAGGCGCAGTACGTTCTACCGACATGCTGGTTAAACTTGACTTACAACTTGTGCACCAGGTGGTTTCTGAGGTCCTGGGTGACATGTTGGTGCCAGGGTTGGACTCTCTTGGGGGGCTGCTGCTGGATGGTCACATTACCTGAGGAGTCCAGACTGTGGAAAAGGGAGCTGCCAATGAATATAAGAGGAACAAAAAAAAAAAGACAACAGAGATGGCAAGTTAGCCCATGCAAGGAACCAAAACAGACAACACCACCAACCTTGTTTATTTGTGTAAAGTAATCTTCAAACTTTTACCATGGTTTTATTTTTAATGGTGACTTGAAGAATTTGTGGCGAATATGCATATCAAATGTATTACTACAGTAACTATAATACTGAATAGTATTAACTTTGAATTTAAAATGCAGTGAAACATTCCTTTTCCCTCCTAACATGAAGTAAAACCAGAACAAAACTATATCAAATTAAATCTAATGGTAAATTTCCTGTTTGCAGTCACAAGCCTGTACTATATGCTACTTATTAAAAATAGACATCTCCATACTTTTTCTTGCAATAATGTTAAAATTGACGAAAGCCTTTTGTTTTCCTTTCAAAGTATCCGATTTGTAAGCTTATTTTCTAGAATTTTGTTAGCATTAAGAAGGAATAAGGGTTACAGTCTATAAACTTTCAGTCTTATTGGCAATCCTTCCTTTGTCTGATTCTTTTAATCCAACATTCTGCCTGTCAGTCTTCCCCATCCATGTGCTGTCAAAGCACTTTCAAGCTTAGCCCGTTTGCTGACAATCTGACCTGTCATCCTGCCTGTCAATCTTCCCTACCCAAAGGCAGGTTCACAACCGGCTTCTTTCAATTTCATCCCATTTCCTGTGTCTGACCTTTTGATCTGTCATTCTGCCTGTCAATCTTCCCTACCCATGTACTGTCAAACATGTGTGTAGATATAGCTAAAAACACCTACGTCTGCTGCCTCTGCATGGCACTCAGCTCGGCTCCCAGGGATGGCCCACCATTCAGGTTCCCTGGCCCACCTGGCCCCAGACCCTGCTGCTGGCCCAGTTGCATACCTGTAGAGAGAAAACTCCACCATCAATTAACTTGTCACCAGCAAAGTTCTTCCCTCAAAGTGCAGGACATAGCATTGCAGAGGTTAAATATTTCAAAATTTACACAGTAGAACATGCTGGTGGATGCCCTTGGGATTGTTGTGCCTCGGCTCGACGACCTCAAGAGATCCAACTTATACAATACCATTTAACAAAGTAAAAGTTGCGTGAGCTTGAGGACACTTTCATTTTCAATGTCAATATTGGAAAACTGATTGTACAATGTTTCATCACTCAGATCATGGAACTAGAAAAGGTCGATCAGCTCGAAAAATTTATGTCCCTTGCAGGGGTCCACACAAAAAAGGCTAGAGTTTTTTCTAGGGAAACAGGAAACACTACTGCAAAAAATACAGTAGAAATGCAGGCATGAGAGGGTAGTGCGTACTTCTGGCTCTGTTGGGTGGATTGTTTTGGTTATATGGCAGTCCCAGCGCGGCGTAGGCACGCTGCATGGACGTGTGGTCGATCTGCTGCTGCTGCTGCGGCGCCGGGGCCTGCTGCGGCGGGGGCTGCGGCTGCGGCGGCACGCCGGGCAGACCGGTCGCTGACGACGTCTGTGTGTGGGTCAGCTGGGGAAGCTGCGCAGTCAACCCTGGGAACCAGACAACAACACACTTCAGTTTCCTCAACAAACAAGAGAGTGATTGGGTTACTGATATGTTATCTTATGTCACACCGACTTAATTTTATGGATGACATCCGCGCGCATTGATTTTCGCCTGTTCTCAAAAAAAAAGAGAGCACATCTGGCCTGGCTCTAAGCCTTGATTATCTCACCATGGTAGTTAGCGACAATACTGAGCCGGTGGTAACTCTGGAGGACGGCATCCAGGCTACCAAAGCTCCACAACTTACTACAAGAATTTACTACATACGTACAGTGCCGATTCATAAATTCCGCAAAAAGCCGGCATGTGTCGGCTTGTCGTGTACGTCGCTATGTACTGCTGGAAATTCACAATGCCGGCTTTGTATTCCTGTGGTTTAATGGCATTTTTATTTTTGGCCGGATTTTTTTATTCGCCCGCGCGCACTACTTTGGGGGTCTTCAGAGGATGTCCTCCATAAAATTAAGACGATACGGCCCTATTTATACAATTTGAAATTAATATCTTTATCTTCTGTATATTCTTCTTATATATTACAAAGCTTTCATTTAAGTAAAAAAATGCATAAATCATATAGATGACAACATAATTAGAATGAAATTTAAACAGTGTAAATTGTACATCTCCAAAAACAGCCTTACCCATGCTGGCTTGCACCTCCTTCCTACTGGACACATTCTTGAGTGGTAGACAAACTGGACAGTCACTTCTGGTACAGTTCTTCCAGTGAGAGATGATTTGTCTGGACGATGCACAATGTGCCACTACAGAACAGAGTACAACATTTACACAACAATTTTACACAAAAACTGACAAAGCCGTTTGTGTTTTCATGACCTTCAAGCATACAGACCTCTGGGTAGCGTTTGGGATTTTCATGGATGTGTTGTAACAGTGGCAGAGCCTGAGATGCCCACTTGCAATGTGCAAAATGCACATGATTTTCAAGAACGGTATATCATGTTTGCATTGTTGTAGTCAAAGAAGCAAAAATTAACCATAACAAAGCAGTATTTTTTTTTATATCATGCTCATAAACCACCTTGTTCGCTACGCTCACTTGGTGGTTTATTCATTGTTTATCGCACCTGACAAGGGATTATCTCACAATATACACCTCGGGGTGGGTCATTAACCCTTTCAGACTGTTGGTAAATTTTCTGTATGTGCTGCATAAAATGTCTAAGTACTAACTGTAGTGTTTGTGACATGTGGCGAGTGAGCGGGGCGGGGGTGTCACGTGTTTGCTTTTTTTTCCAAATCAGATAAAAATGAAGCGAGTAGATCCGAGAACCAATAGACTAACAGTGCATGGTTGTGAAGATGAGAGAATCTGTTGTACTGTACCTTGGCAGTTCTTCCCAGCCTGGCAGTGGGTCATGTGGGTCAGCACGTTCTTCATGGTGCGACAGTGGGGGAGTTGGCAGTTCCGCACCTCGCCGTTCACGGCAGACTGTTCCCGGCGCTGGCACTTGTGCGCGTGCAGGAGGAGGACCAGCTGCTGCTGGATGAGCTTGCGTTTCTCGGGGTCTGCTGTGGGCGCGGTCACGCCGCCTTGCGGTGCCACTTGTGCAGGCGCCTGCAGTCGGGGAAAAAACCTCCGTTAAACATTTTTATGTTTACCGCTTGGTTTCTTCTTCTTCCATTCCAAACACTGACCTCTGACCTGGTCAATGACCTGAACCGGACTGTCTCACACCATGGTAACTGGTGTTGGGTTACATAATGTTGCAATTTTATAGTAGGAGGGATTTAGATCTTTCAAGCAGGCAAACAAATGTGAAAACATAACCTAAGGCCACACCGACTTAATTTCTTGGTTAACGGATTTTTCTAGAAAAATAATGGAGCGGGCGGGCGAAAAAAATAAAAGTAAAAACAGGCCTAGACATCCTATTATGGCCAAAAATGGTACAATAGGAGCCATGAAGTCAACACACCAGGCTGGTTCAAAATTTAAACAGTGAATTTTGAACTTCATATGGATGGATCATAACTTAATGACACCATTGCATTGAAAGATGGAATAACTGTAACAACTAGGAAGAAAAGGACTGTTTTCAACTGTTCAGGGCAAAAATATGAGCATTTTGCAGTTGATTTCTAATTATTTTATTTATTTTTTTTGCAAATCAGAAAAAATGAAGCGGGCGAATCCGTTAACCAAGAAATAAAATTGGTGTGGCCTAACCATGAGCTCTCCTGTGAATGGAAAGCTTAGTAAGACGCCATGTAACTGTTTTACCATGTAACATCGGTAAAACGTACTGTGCCAACGTGAAACCCATGATTTTCACAACTTTCCTTGGATGGTTGGTGAACGGTGCATCGGTATATGGGGAATATTACTTTAATTAAATGAGACGTTCTGCCTAAGCGCTATGCACAATACATTGCGGGTTTTCCGCAGGTGCAACTGTAGCTATGTGTCATATAAAGTTTTGTTATCTTCTGTTGTGTTACATCTTAATTCCTAATAATACAACCTTTTTCATATTTACTGCATTTTGCAGGAGAGTAAAAAAAAAGGCTCAAATAGCTTTATATGTTGTTGTATAAGCGTAAAACTACTACAAAGCATCAGCCACAAATAAAGCCTGGTACACACGGACAATACAGCAAACACAACCACCACACACAGGCAACACTGCACAGCACACCATAGCCGCCAATCACACTTCACTTGGGGGTGAGAAAGAAAAAATACCACAACAGGAAGAATTCATGTTTACGGCTTTACCAGTAAGCCTTACTATGTACTATATATATACTATAAATCATGATTTCATAACACCCCCTACTGTAAATCACTTAACTTTCGCAGTAGCAAAATTTCGCAGTCTGAGAAAAATGGACAGTCCGCGAAACTATACGTGCGCAGTGGCAGCAGGTGTAGAAGAAAGAAAGTCGCTGAACTACTTCTTCGCGCAATGATAAATTTGGGGTACAGAAGTGACCATGAAAACCGCGAATATAAAAAGTACCACGAAAATCAAGTGATTTACAGTATTTTCAGCACAGTGCTGCCAACCTTAAATCTGATGGCAAAAACTTGTTTTCAGGTATGTAGACTTTTCGACAGACTTGAATTTAGAAATGGCAGAATCAGTGTTTGTTTTCTTTGTTTTTTGTGAGAAGTGAAGGCGGGCACGTACCATCGCCCTTACCATGTTGGCGTTGCCCAGCGAGGACGTCACATTTGGGCCAGCGAGGGGCGCGGAGGTGGGAATTTGACTGAAAGAAGCTGACATAGACAAGGAGTTGGACATGGAGAGGGAGGGGGAGGGGGAAGAGGAGGGGAGGGAGGACCCACTAGACATAGGGGAGGGGAAGGGGTGGTTGTACGGGCTACTGCTGGTGGGTGGCTGCTGTCCCAGGTAGTTCTGGTCCAACCTTGGGACCTGTTATGGTGAAGAAATAAGGAAAATAAAGTCAATGATGGCAGAGGAAGGTTAGTAGCAGTACCCTCCACTAGTGATACACCACTACAGAGGAGGCTGAGGGTGGAGGGTGTGAAAGGGGGTTGGGGAACTTGTCTATAGCAGTTTGGAACGTCACATTTTCATGACAGTTATTTCACAGAGGACAAATTTTATCCCCAGATCTGTAAGGGATTTTCTTATTAATCAAGAAAAACAGTACACTGTTTTGCCTTTCCTCTCAAAAGACCATCATATTGCTGAGTTTAAGTGCTATGCCATGTAGTACTTTTAGTTTCACTCATTATATAATATTATGTACAGTTGGATCATTAGTATCTGGACAACTATATTCTCTCCAAATGTAGCAGTTGTTCCTCTCATACTACAATAATAGATACATTATATATACCTCTTTTTATACATTACATTTTAATCCAAAACATCCCATATGCAAAGTACCTCGTGGAAATGATCCCAAATTGCATAAACAATGAAATATAAAGATTTGTTTCCAACTTGAACCCAAGTGACCTGGTCAAGCACCTATATCTAGAATACTGTGACTGAAAACATTCACCCTTCATTCTTTACACATCTGCTTCAAAGTAGCATAAAAATTGTGGCACATCTTGAAATATTCCAGTATCCAACACTTCTGTCTTCTGACCAAAAGCTGAATCATATTTTGCCATTGGGCACAGTTTAAGCATGGCAGACTAGTGCCTAAGAAGTATATTGTAAACCTTTGTAGTTTTCAAAATGAATTTATATACAAGTCCTTTCACACAAGTATGATGATCATATATCATTAGAAAAATGAGAGGAAAGCCCCAATAATAGAGCCAATATGGCAATATACAAAGGTGTTTGACAATGATGACCCCAACAATGGATGTTACACAAGTCTACCACGAAGAAAAGGGGCATGATAGACACAACCTAAAGTTGTAACTAGAAAGCAACCACCCAAGCTTCATTAAGTCATTATTCACAAGAATATTATCTGACCATATATAAAATTATATTATCTCAAGTAAAAAATGGAAGTAATGTTTTGGCCTGTTTGTGTTTTGTAACATTTTGGGTCAACATAAATTGTTCAGTATGAATGGACTGTGATGATATTTGGTATGTTGGTAGATCTTGGGAAGACAAAGCTCAAGGTGGTTTTTGGGCCGCCTGGAGGCTTTGCTTGGTACTGCAGCAGAACTTCTGTTTGTTTGTTTTTTTATCTTTTGTCCTGGAGTTGCTATGGTCTCGTTTGGTGGCTGAGTGATAGAGCAGTGTAGGTTTGAGCCCAATAAGAACTTGTTCCGACACTGCAGGAACATTTTTGCTCAAATCTTTTAAAGAGGATAACTTAACACAGGAAGGATGGATTTCCAATTTTCCATGCATTGAGCATGCAAGTAGCTCGGGGTTCCTGACTTGCCACTAAAATTGCACCAAAAGCGACTAGAAAAATGGCAGAGCGGCTTGACTTGAAATAAAGTCACACGGGTGTGCTTATCAAAACTAAGCAAAAATCAAGACCTGTGCCGGGATAATGGGTTGTAGAACAGAGTCATATGCTGACAGAGTGTTGAAAAAAATAATATCCATATCCTACCGGCAGAAACGTTTATGAATTTGATCGGCATTTTGTCACTTTCCGTTTGCAAGGGTTACATGGGTTACAAAAACTAGGTTTGGTGGAAAACATCAACATGCAAGTTGATTTTGACAGATACATTAATCAATTTCCTCATCAATATGCAAATTTATGCAGCAGGTTTTCTGCATGTGAAAATGCAACCCAATTTTTCTTGTTTAAAAATTGTACTTTTAGGTCCCTTGGGAACAAGTCAATTTGCATATCCGCATGCACAAAAAAGCTTTAGAACTTTTTTGAACTTTAACATTTGAAATCAAAATCATTTCAATTTCACATGTCGAAAATACAAGGAAAAGTTAATTTTCATTATGTTTTGTATTTGAGAATGTAGCAATATGAGACTTTCCTCCATTCCATAAGCATGATTCAATTTTAGAAGCTACTTTTGGGCATAAAAGTTTAACATTTAAAAATAAAGTCAGTTGAACATTTGAAAATCAGTTAAACATTTAAAAATGATTTAAAAGAATGAACGTCTATATCCTCAGATTATGTTGAATGGACAATCTGCCTATCTGTAACATCACATCAAAAGCAACAACTTGAAAATGTAGGAAGTGAAAATATAACAAATCATCCACAAAATCCTCCCAATATCTGCCTGAAGGAAACACCCCCCCCCCGCTATTCCAAAAAACGGGTTTTTCTGGACCATTCCAATTTGCCTCATAATTGAAAGGGTGCATCTGAAATATTACATTGACCGCGAAAACAGCTACAGCAAAAATACAAATTCGTGCATCATCATGTGCATGTCAGCAGACGGCGTATGAAATTGCATGCCGATTAAACAAAGAGAACCCCATGTTCTAGCTGCGAACATGAAAAAACGGCTACCCACAATACTTCGTCTGGAGGTCATGACCTCCTTCACAGAGTAATAAAAGAAACAGTAAGTATAGTAAAGTATAACCTCTGTAAATAACAAAAGAGCAATACTTTCCCAAATAAAATGCATGAAACTTAGGGGTCTCCCCAGAAATTCTTAGGGGAGAGGTGCTCCCTAATCGGTTAATGAAAGAAATCAGCAAAATTACATGAAAATACTAAGGGAAAACCCTAGATTTGAACATTTTGGGAGAGGTGCTCAGATTTTTGGGAGAGGGGGAGCATGCTTGCTTCAATGCTTGGGGAAAGCCCTGATTTTATGAAACTCTACAATACTGTTAATCCAACCACTCAAAACCAGCCTGCCACAGAAGTTACATGTGGTCAGTTGTAGCTTATTAGCTTTTAAAAACTGCCTTCAGTTCTTCACAAAAGCACGCTTATACAACAGATGACAAGATAGTACTGGAAACATCTTCAGAACATCACTCTCTGATAAGAGAAAGACAACAAGCAATGCCGGTAAGATCTGTCTGGTGCAGGTGGTGTCAAATATTACCCACAACAGAACTCTCTCTGTCTATCAGTCAGTCTCAAAAGACTATGTCCCATAACAGTACAGGTATACGGAAAAAATATATATTTTTGAGCCCAGCTAAATCATAGGAAACACAGGCCTAGGGTACCCCATAGTAAACTGAGCGGTCTGTACTGAGACATCATATAACCAGACTACAGAAAACCAAGTCAGTCTAACTGATAGCAACCTGTGTGTCGAAACAACCAAAAATACCACAATGCAATTACAGAAAATATAATCATAACAGCTAAAGTACCATTGCCAATAGAAAAGCAACACCAACAATGGCATAATACATGAAGCTGGAATTTTACTATCCAAATGTATAGACAGTAAACTGCAATTCAAAACATCTAGCTGTAATTTTGCTTTCTCAATAAGGCCACACCAATTTAATTTCATGGTTAACGGATTTTTCTCGAAAAATAATGGAGCGGGTGGGGGAAAAAAACAGGCCTAGGCATCCTATTATGGCCCAAAATGGTACAATAACAGCCATGGAAACCAGGCTGGTTCAAAATTTAAACAATGAATTTTGAACTTTTAATGATACCATTGCATTGAAAGATGGAATAACTGTAACAACTAGGAAGAAAAGGACTGTTATCAACTGTCCGGGGCAAAATATGAGCATTTTGCAGTTGATTCTGATTTTTTTTTAATCTAGAAAAAATGAAGCGGGCGAATCCGTTAACCAAGAAATTAAATAGGTGTAGGCCTAATAAAGATGCATGGTTATTGGTTCCTTCATTTCGAGCAAATTCTTTTCTGTATAATATATGTAGGCTGCAGGTTGATAATGATAGTAACTAGTAACTGTAATCAC